ACATTTTTATTTATCATTTTATTGTATTCTAGTTGAAAAGAACGCATTAAAATACATAAAAGCATGTTTTTGTATGGTAAAACCATGCAATAATGTTAATGCATCATCACTCAAAGAAGCTATGTTCCAGAAACAAAATAAACATTTGAAACACTACTCAACATAGTTGATAACCTATGTTTTTATGCATTGCTGATAGTCCTAAACCTAACAGCAGAGTCCTAGGGCTTCGGGGAAAATGTCTGTAGCACCTGAACCAAGCAAAACCAAATTTTTGCTTAAATCTAATTTTGTAGAAGACACTTCGGACTATCTATCTATGAAAAAAGAATCAAGAGATTCCTATGTGATTTCTAGAGGTTCGAGGTGATTTCCTGGAGATCTTCCAGAAAACTGGTCTTTCAAATATTTTCGGATAGCAGTTTTGCTTGAGAAACCGTAGCTTAAACTGTTCTCTTCGATTGCTGAAAATCGCAAGGCTCTGGCTTTTATCGTTTTTGAGTTATTCAAAAATGGCAACTCGCCTTGTATTTTTGCGTTGATAGTAGTTTTAGGTAGATCAGAGAAAACTGGCTAAGTCTGATATAGAAGCTTGATTGAGCTGGGTGGGGGAGCTTGAATACTGAAAATAGCCGGTCTTTGAGATTAGGTCGCAAGACTTGGCACAATGCCTAACTGTGAGATCGAAATATTACGAAAAAAAGAAACTAAAATGTAATTATATTCAAATTACTCATAAAATACAAAAAACATGAAATTTTAAATAATTGATTTTTGCTTGATATAGTGTTTGGAAGAAAGTGAACGAACTAAATTATATGCTGATTTAATTAAAAAGAATCCGGAAGAAAAAAAACGAATAGCCTATTCTTATATTGTTCAACGATTTCGTACTTTCGTGAGTTGTTTTATCGTGTTCTTTTTCTATCATAGGTTTGTTTTATTCTTCTCTTATTGTTTTTCTAGCAAAGCCATGATCAAAAAATTGAATTATCAAATGCATCAAAACTATTTAAAGAAATTAGTAATAAAAATGAATTAATTACTCAGGTAATAAAAACGTTTGTTCTAGAATAACATATTATTGACGTCGTGTTTCTATATAGCTTATTGATGATGAACAACATTTAATTACACGGCAAGATGAATTAGAAAAAAAATTTTTAAACTTACCATCATTAAAAGGTTTATCATTATGTGAAACAATTGAACAGTTACTCATAGCTAATGAAAAAGAAGCAGAACAATTAAAAAAAGATTTCGGTATATCTGATAAACGGTAAGAATAGTAGTCGAATGAAATAGTCAAAAATTTAGAGGTTTGTCTCTCTAGTTATTGGTGGATAAAAATTCAAATGCTGGGAAAAAAGGGTGCATGGTCGATATTGGCAGATTTTGGTAAAAAGCCAACATCTCCCATTGGTTATGAGGTATTATTTTCTCTCTTCTTTTTTTTAACTCAAATGGATCACTTGAATTTGAGTTTATTTCTACCAACCTCTCATTAGAAAAAAATGTAATAAAAAGAGATGAGAAGATTTTTCACAAAAACATGACACTGGTACTGATTTATAACATGTGAACAAATTTAAAAGTAAAACACAAAGAGAAAAAAAACGAAGTAGAAAAAGAAAAGTAGCAATAAATCATGAAACTGATAAACTCCAGTAAATTATAGTAAGAGACTGCCTGTATTTGTATGTTAATGAGGATGAGAAGAAAAAATACTGTCTGTATACAGAAATGAGAAAGTGAGATATTAGTGACAATGCTGTTAGAGAGCTGATGTCCCCGTCTTCAACAGTTCTTATAAGAAAAGAGTTGGCAAAAAAATCAGTGTCCTATGGACAATGCTGAAACATATACGAGCGTGTTTGTTTGTATTTAATACTAATAACCTGAAACCTCGGCAATACGTGCGGTTTCTTGAAAAAATGACTATCATATAGGGCATACGCATAATCTATCAAAAGACGGCACAAGTTATATCAAGATGTTTTTTTAATTTTGACAGCACATCTCTAAATGTCTGATTCATCATTTTTTGGGCATTTAACAGTTACGTTTTGTACATGCACATTCTACTTCAAATCATATTTTAGTATAACGCCAAGTAACTTTACCTCAATGATTCGTTCTAAAGTGTTCTTTTGATTAAACGACGTTTGAGGACTGACATGAAACCTGAGTGAAGTTATGGGGTAAATAGTCATTATGTGATCCAGTGACAGATATACAGTTTCACATGATGAAAATATGTTTTGTGTGAAACTACTTTACTCACTCTCACACTGTCCACACATCCTACCTCCTACGACACACTGTCAGAAATACCCAAATGTGTACTACGAAAAATTCGTAGAACAGTCGGGATCCTGTTCGCGATAATGTCGTTCGCTCAAATGTCAGTTGACATTTCTTTTTTCTAAGCTTCACATGATCGGTGATAAAAAAAATTGATATCTATCGAAGAGAATTCAGTAACACTTTTTAATATTTAATTTGACAAGGCTCATAAAAAAAAATGGTTATATGTTTTGTCACTTTCATTTCTAACACATTCAAAATCCTTATTTGACAAGTAGTAGGACAGGATACACAACAAAAGAAATCATTTACAAATAGTGGCACAATAGAGGATGGAGACAGTTCATTTTATTATCATTTACAAATCTATCGATTATTGTTCTTTATCTTCTAGCCATTTATTGATATTTGTTTAAAATATGAAAAACCAGATGAAGCTAAACGATATGTTGATAAATCATTGTATAGTTCAAAAATAGATGATGATCGATTGCCATATATGTATGCAAAAGTTCAGTAAGTTATTGAAATTATTTTCATTTATTGTTTAACGAAGAACATATCTATGACATCATATGATAAATTTTTATGTGATCTCTCTCTCTCTCTCTCTCTCAGTTATAGACGATATCAATCTTGATAAATATTGAAAAGTTTAAAAGTTTATTTTGAATATAAATATTATGTATTCTTTTTTTTTCAGAATGTTTGATGAGGCGATTAATTCTGCCGTGAAATTGAAATCAAATGAGGCATTAGTATTTATTGAACAAAAATGTGGTCCGACAAACATTAATATATTACAAAAAGTCGATGTGGCTAGAACAAAACTTGAACAATATGATGATAATCCATTTCAAGCAGTTCGAAACATATTTAAATAGTAAAGAGTTGTTTGTTGATTTTCTTTTGTACAAATTAATATTGTTATTTTTATTCTGTGTGATTATTTTTTCTCGATATATTTCTCTTTATGAATGATTTATTTAGTAATTTCTTACTGAAATTTTTTTTAAAAAAATGACCTCTATTTTCAATCTTTCTTTGATAAATATTAACGGTATGTTGATCATAAAATTTTTTTCTACAATGTCCATTACGAATTTCAAATATTAGTCAATTTACTCCTTCAATTTGATAGTATTAAATCTGAATATATTTTTATTGTGAAAGGATTTGCAGAGAAAAAAACAAACAATAACAGACTGGCAGCATTAATCAAAAATTTATAGGAATAGGTGTCAAAAAAAAGTGAATATATACAACACACTTACTAAAATACCTTTAAACAACATATATTAATGTTTTTCTATTTGTGTGTGAATGAGTGGGTGGGTGTGTCTATTACCTATGCGCTGATATAAAAAATAAAAAAAGCAAAAAAAGCATTTAATCTGGAACAAATTGGTTACAACATTTTTTAAGTTAAATAAAATTATATCTACGTCAAATATAGCGGTATCTAAACATCCTTCAATTTCTTCTACAGATGTCCATATAAATGACAAACTTTTGAAGTACTATTTTCTACTGATAAATGGGAAAAATGTCAATTAACATATGTGTAGTTTAACCATTCGATCAATGAGAAAGTATTTTATGTAAGTTTTCAAGTGTTTTGTTCATGTTTTTTGTTATCATTTATTGTGAAATTTATGTCACCGGTATTACGATTAAAATTTAATCATTGTTATTTCTATTTAAGAGATTTATTTTTCTCGGAAAGATCATCTGATGATGATAACTCCTGTTGTTGATCATTACTATGTGGCACTGGTACATTAACTGAAATTTCTTCAGTCCTAAAATAAGAGTTGAAAAAGTTTGTTACAGTTAGAAAATGATTACTGTTAAACTTACTGATTTTCTTCTTCATCATCGTCATGAAATGCATTCCACCACAATTCGTTTTGGATATCGTCAGACAAATACTTGTCTTTAGTATCATTTATTTCTTTTATTGCTAATATTAATTCTGAAATACAAGACAATATTCAACTTATCATTCAGAATCAAATCTGAACATCGTTATTTGTTTACCGTCTGCACTCAAACGTCCATCATTGTCTGTATCAAATTCCTGTATTATATTGTCTGCTGTGGAATTTGCATCATCCACCTGTATTAACTGCAACAGTTCTAAAAAAATTATTGTTAAATGCCAGAAAAATTTATCTCTATATCTATCAAAATATTAGAACTATACCTTCAATTTCTTCTTTTGACAAATATCCATCGTTACTAGTATCAAACAGTTCAAATAATTTTCTTACATGTCTATCTGAATAATGTCCCGTTAAAATTGGAAATAAAATATCTCGAAATTCATTCCACTTTAACGTATCTTCACGAGCTAAATATAAAAATATTCAGTTAATACACTTATTCTATCTTAGTTTTCTGTTCTAAATTTACCTCCGTCCGAAGCTGCTTGTACGATATATTTTCTAAAAACACCCTCGAACAACGTTTGTAAAAGATCATCTTTTACTCCTAAAGCGGATAGTACTTTTTCGGGTAATTCATCATCTATTACAATGACATTTTCATCATTGGCTAAATCCTGAAACATCCTTTGAATTGCTGTAAGAATAAAAATTATATTTAATTTTATTTCAGCTCAGTTAAAATTTTGTTAACACTTCTTACCTTCTAATGTAAGATTCAATTCTTCTTCATCGGCTACTTTTGATTCTTCTTCCAGATGTTCCGAAAGTTGATGTTCAACCAATGGTTGTGATAATTCTTTTTCAACAGTTTGTTGATTTTTATTTGATACAATATCTGATAATTTATCAATTTCTTGTTGTTGACTATTATTTTCACTAGAGGTTGAATGGTGAAGTTCACCAATATACGGCGCTGTTTGAGCTGCGTCCAACGATGATTTTGACACATCCTCCATAGAATCTTCTAGTGCTGATGAATGTTTAGGCGATGCTTCTTCAATATCGTGTTTTTCTTCTCGTTGGTATCCGCTTGAACCCGATTGATCCTCATTTGATTCTGATTGAGTCAGTTCATGTGGAAAGTGATCTGAAGCACTCAGCCTTTCGCTGTGATCAATAATTGATGTCACTTGATGACCAAAGTCTGCGGATGAGGAGAAATTTTTCTCCTCATTGATATTTGACGTGTTCAGTTGTTCGTCGCTTTGTCTTTTTGTATCGAATGAAGCAGATGTCGTCCGTAAATCTGCTTCTGATTTATTGTCGCTTTCCTTTTTGTCCATCGAACTTGTATCTTGGGATTTTATGGTCTCATCTCCTAACGGCTTTTTGTCTTCTTGTTTGTTGATGGCAATTTCATTCTCGACAATCGGAGAACTTAAAGTTGCCGGTTCTGTTAAACTTTTTCTGCTGTCATCACTAATCAATGGAATTTCTTTGGGACTGTCAGACACTTTTTCGCTGTCTGCTTGTTCAGAAGTGTTTGATTGTTGACCAGAGCTGATGGCTGATGGATATTGTTGCTTCTCTTCTCTTATCAAAGTCGCATTATCGATAATAGTCTTTAATCGATTCTCCTCGTTAGGAGATTGTGGAGCAGATCGTTCAACTTGTTGTGTTTCCTGTTTATTAGAAGATGATGTCGTGTCTGATTGATTCTCAGCTTTAGTAGACAAAAATTGCTCTTTGTCATCAGTCGGACTTTGAGGTGGAGATTGTGGAGTAGATTGTTCAACTTTTTGTGTTTCCTGTTTATTAGAAGATGATGTCGTGTCTGATTGATTCTCAGCTTTAGTAGACAACGATTGCTCTTTGTCATCAGTCGGACTTTGAGGTGGAGACTGTGGAGTAGATTGTTCAACGTTTTGTGTTTCCTGTTTATTAGAGGGTGGTGTCTTGTCTGATTGATTCTCAACTTTAGTGGATGACAATTGCTCTTTGTCATCAGTCGGAGTTTGAGACAGCGATTGTCGAACAGATGTTTGCTCTGGTTCAGATGGTGTTCGAGCGTCGACAGAGAATGCGGGTGATGATTGTTCCTCGCTTGATTTGTTACCACGCGAAGTGTCTATCGGTGATCTATCTATGATTAATAAAAAACGATCATTCAGTCATATTTCGGTTTATGATCTTGGAATTAAGAGAATGAGTTCATAAAAAGGTTTGTTTTTATGAATTAGAATATCTATCTATATCTATGTCACGCTGGAAAAACGAGATACAATTTAAAAATAGTTGAGATATTTCATATATAGAAATACATGGTTATCAGTATTTGGTGGACTCAGTTTTTATTCATGCAGATGAGAAAAAAATTTTCAGGTAAGAATAAGTATAGAGAGGCAATTCGCTGATAGATTATGTAGTTATTAGTGAGCGTAAACTATCCTGCGTCTAAGCATATTGACAGAATTATATACGTTTTATCACGTTTAATGTAGTAGAAATACAATATTCGATCGATCATTCTATAAAAAGTTTGAACCAATGAATTATACATTTTGTTAAAACTTACAAAATTATGTGTGTTCTCATGTACCAGATCCTACTAGGAACATTAATTTTATAGAGAAAAACAAATAAGCATGATGTGATAGGCTACTTGAAGCTCTAGATGACCAATGATCTTATACTAAAGCTGAGAATCAATCAGACACGACATCATCTTCTAATAAACAGGAAACACAAAAAGTTGAACAATCTACTCCACAATCTCCACCTCAAAGT